CACGCCGCTGAACGATGGTCGTGATGCAGCAGATTAACCTGAGAGTTCAACAGGAAGTACACAGTGACTCTTTCCAACATGACGTCCTGACATCACACAAACTGGTTTAAACCAGCAGCTGTCACCAGTGTGTGTGTGTGTGTGTGTGTGTGTGTGTGTGTGTGTGTCAACCCACACGTCGCCCGCCGGTTTGTGAGCTGCTGCTCTGAAGCCTCAGTTCGACATTTAGTCCAGCGCCATCTTGGTTTTTACCAGAAGTAACCATGTTTGGAGGAGCGGGGGTGGGGCCTCACTGAACAGTACCAGCTGAAAAAGGTTCGTTTGAGAACTGCAACTGAAGAAAACACACAAACACACAAATACTGTTGTACTTTCAGTCTCTTTGTTAAACTGTGTGTTTGCAGCTCGTGTTGTGTTTTATCACGTTCCGTTAACTTCCATCGTTTAAATCCTCTACAGATTAATTTCTGTTTGAGTCATGACACTCGACTGACTCCAGGGGGAGGAATCTGCACATCGGAGCCCACATCACCCTGAAGACGTATTAATGTAATATCACTGTGTACTCGCTGCTGTTCCTCCAGTTAATTAACACGTTAATAAACACGTTAAACGGAGTGTCAGTGGTGTAAAGTGTCACCTGACTAATGATATGAAACATCATCCTAGAATCAGGATGAACACAACGTCCACCATCGAGAGGAAAAGTGTTTTTTATACATTCTGTGCAAAGTTAAATAAAGAGTAGTCCACACATCATCATCATCTTCATCATCGTCTTCATCATCTGTCGACATGAGTTCAGTCAGTTCTCTTCTATTTACAGTTAGTTACGTTAGTACCATCATCCCGAGGCGGGACTAAGACATTCGTCAGAGGGAGAAAATCCACCTTCAAACAAAACTCATCGTTAGCACTGATTCTGAGACGGTACCCGTAATGTTGTTATAATACCTTTTTACAAAATATTGAAATATTCATCTTTTGCGTTTCTTGCATCAGTTCAACCTCTCGAAAGAATAAAGGTTTGAAGAGAGATGTAGTTAATTCAGTGGTTATGACTGGGCGGTGGTTACTTCCTGTTTAAGGTGGATGTTCGTTTGTGTGGTTTGATTATTTCACCTGACTCTCTGTGCTGTTTTCAGGAGGAGGTGGTTCCGTCTCGTCTCCGGAATCCCTGATAAATACATTGAACTAACGCAGCATAGGAAGAAGAATTCCATCTGAAGGTTGATTTTCACCTCGTCCATCAGTTTCAAAACAACCTGCTGCTATTCTATTTAAAGGCATTCAGCAGGTTCAGAAAACACAGGGCACACAGTGAACGAGGAGGGACCAGGGAGAGGGAATAGAAAAATAAGAGTTAAAAACTGTGGCAGACACAACGAGACGATCACCTCACTTCACTCTGTGGCAGAGAAACATAAACAAATGTAGAAAATAAAGTTTCAGAGGAGGTGGGGCACCAGGCGATCAGAGAGAAGGCAGAGAAAGAGGAGGAGGTGTAAGAGGAAGAGGACGAAGAGGAGGAGCAGGCCCGGGAGAGCATTCCTCAGAAGAATTTGTCATCGATGCGGAAGTGCGGCCGTGTGACATCATCTGGGTTGATGAAGACCGAGATGGATTTCCCAGGATTCTCTGTGACCAGCTGCTGAAGCTTCTTGGCCAGGCGGTCGTCGGGTTGGTTCTCCCCGCCCGCGTCGGACTGCGGCGACGGCAGGTTGTTGGAGCTGCCCCGCCACTGCAGTTCCACCGTCAACCTGTTGGCGGCCTTGGCGTGTTCAATGGTGGTGCGGAGGTGCTCGGCCGGGTCGGAGCGCACAGAGGAGAGTTTGCGGGCATGAAGCATGGCCGTCTCATCCGACAGATGCTCCAGCATGTTGCACTGAGGGATGAAGTAATTGGGACACATCTTGTTGACGAGGCAGTGCTGCAGGTCGTCAATCAGGCCGAGCAGGAAGTGGGCAGAGAAGTCGTCCTGTGCCAGGTAGTTGGCGGGAAGACGGTCGCAGGCCCACAGCATGATGCTGCGGAGGTGGTAGGGGCTGATGGCTTTGGGGCGAGACAGCAGCTTGATGATGATGGCTTTACAGGCCTGGTACGCCTGCATCAGGCTGGACGAGATGCACTTCTTCAGCTGCACCTCGCTGCGGGCGAACGACAAGCGCCACTCGTTCTCTTTGCGGCCTTTGTAGGAGCAGGCGGGGACGAGGTAGAAGCCGCTGATCACCTCCTCCTCCGTGATCTTCCCATCCCAGAAGTGGTTCTCCATCAGCCAGCTCTGAGCTACAGCCGGCCAGCCTTTGAACGACACCACCGGGACGATGTCATACAGCATCCGGCTGCTCCCAACGCCCAGGATGACAGAGATGATGGTGCCGTACCTCTCCACCTTCTCCACTCGTGGCATCCCTCTCTGCGGCTTCTTCTGCACCTCCAGCAACACCAGGGAGATGGACTGGTAGAACCAGTCTGCAACCAGAGTCGGAGAAAAGAAGTAGTTGGTGGTCCCGTTGATGTGGTCGACGATGGTGCAGCAGTCCTTCCACTTGTTAATGGTTCCTTCATCGAAGAGGCGGAGGCTGAGCCAGGAGTGACCAAGGGCCGAGTGCCTCATGTCCAGGGTCACCGGCTGGTTGCGGTCGTGGAGTTTGAGGGCAGGGACCAGCAGAGTGAAGTCCATATCATAGTCTGTGCCACGGGCGTAGACGCTAAGCTCGTCCAGGTCCATGTCCACCACACCCTCCCGAACGCCTCCCGACAGGAGGAGATACTCGTTGGCCACCGGGAGCTTCTGGTCCAACTTCTGGACCATTCCTGAGACAGAGGACAGGGACGGATAAAGAATCGTGTTAAGTACAAACAGGTGGACTTCCTGCTGGAAAGCATCTGGGCCTGGTCCCAAACACCAGAGCAGGCAGGTGTTTGGACCGGATCAGTGTGTCCTGTTGGGCTCTGGTGGGCACACACAGTGTGTTTGGTCTGGAGGATCACAGACACATCCTGGTTCTTGATCTTTGTGTTTGAGTGTGAACTGACTTTCCACAGCTCAACGATCCATCGTTAATAAAATTACCAATGAAACAGTGAGTTCAGCTGCAGGACAGACCTGTTCAACAACAAACCTCATAGAGTCCTCAAATGTCCTCAAATGTCCTCAAATGTCCTCCCTCCTGGAAACATTGATTTCACTGGTAAAGAAAATCTGCCTGCAGAGGGTTGGGATGTGTGAGTACAGCGAACAAAGTACTGCAACTCAGTCCTTCATGTCCCTCGGATCAATACAGCATATACAGTATCTGTCTGACTGTCTCTCTGTCTGTCTCTCTGTCTGTCTGTCTGTCTCTCTGTCTCTCTCTGTCTATCTGTCTCTCTCTCTCTCTCTCT